TAGTGCAGCGCTTTGTGGATTCTTCTCTCTGTGTGTGTGTGTGTACGTGTGTGTGCGTCCAGGACCAGCTAACACATGTGTTTGTATATGAGGCAGCATCAATAAAGGTCTTAAACAGCCAATAGTAGCTCTACTTAAATGTCTGCCAAGCACGGGGCCAGTGATTGGTCGACGGCGGAGCACAGTGAGAAAGTCATTAATTCTGAGTGAACCATTTATTTGTTGTGTAGAAGGCAGCGGGGCAAGAATCACTCTTGTTACAATGAAGCGTTCGGCGACAAATAAATACAATATTGTACAATAAGGCGGCTGCAGAACAGTGTGTATCACAGTTAAAGGGGACTGTGATTGAAAAGGTTTAAGTTCAATCAGTGTCGAACAGCTTCATTTGGACCGTGATTCACTGAGGATGTAGAGATCCTCACTGGTCCTCCTGATAAACACTCATCCTGTAGCTCCCCCCCTTTCAGCTACTGCAGACTTTAACTGAACAATGCTGACATTAGAGGTTGGCCAAGCCTTTTTGTGACTTCCTCACATTGTGTTTAACACCAGTGAACAAACCTTTTCTGTCAACATTTATCCAAAACAGGCTTTTAGTTGAGATAAAAACCAATGTTTTGATGATCCCTCAGTTTACATGCAAGTAAAAAATATCTCTAAGTTGTAGTTCTGACGTCTCTTTAAAGCTATTTCAGTATATATTTTACCACTAAGGCTGATGACTGTTACATCCCTGGAACATGTGTGTTGTGTTGCAGCAGTTGACTTCGCCCGAGTCTGTTGCTAAAAGCTGTGTGTGGCGCCGGTTTGGGATAATGATTTGGGATGTTATCAGTGCGGAGCAGGGAAGTAAACAGGGGCGCTATCTACAAAAGTTTAGCCATATGTTAAATCAGTGGCAGAGGACAGGAGGGAGAACAGCTGCTTCCCCCACTGCTATCTGACAGCTTACAAACACACACACACACACACACACACGCACACACACTCAATGTAAATAATCCCTGAAACCATATTGATTATTCTTGCATGCAAAGAGGTTGAGGAAAATTTAATGTGCCCGAACAAATATGTTAACATTTTTTTTTAAATAATCCCTGAATCTGTTTTTTTTTTTTTTTAAAGAGATTCGCATTTATCGCGGATTGTAGACGATCGTCTCATCTGGTGACGTCTGACGCTCTATTCTGAAACGTTAGACACACGTTTTGACAAGACATCTGGAAGGCTGTGCAGACCAGTGATCAAAATCAAACCAATGTGTAAACAAAACAGGGCTGATATGCAGTATTAGTCAGCCAGCTGTCGGCATAAAACTGGTGCAAATTAGTCTCTTTCAGATTATTTTTTTTTTATTTGTTAGTGTCGTTGGTATTAACAGGCAGACATGAAGTGAACAGATAGAAGTGTGTTTTAATTAACGTTGCCTTAATTGGACAAAGATTTAAAAAAAACAACGCATTGGAATGACCTTACTGTAAATGACCAACGTGCGGAATTATTGCAACGCTTTATTCTTGTTTTGTCAGACTGTGACCACAGACCTTGTCTTTCGTGCCTGTATTTTCACAGCTGAACTACAGCTCCCATAATGCACCACTGCTTAATTAAAGTTGCTATTAGCACACATGAAGCCCTGTGACAAACCCATTTTTACTACTTGAAGTCCTCGTGCATAATCGTGTAATGGACTCTTGGTCCCGATGTGGTGTCTAAATTCGGATCCTGTGGCTAAAACTGTGGAGCACGGACTGGCTCGGGAGCCATAACGAAAGGCAAAAAGTTTCCCCGCAAAAAAAAAACAAACAATAAAGAAAGTAAATGTAGCTCAATCCAATGGATGACATACAACCAGCAAATGTAAACAAAGCCGTTTTCCGCATATAGCGCCACCTGCTGACACATTTTTGTCCAGTCTGCACGCTAACTACTTCCTGTGCAAAATTAGTTTGAACGCAGCGTAATGATGGAACAAAACTTTCTTAATAAATGTATGGGAAATAGTGACATAACGATGAGGCGCTGTAGGTCCAGGACGTTGTAAAGTGCCCCCTATTGGCACACTGCTGCTGGTAGCGTACAGCATAACAGAGGGAGGAAGCTCTGTACTTCATATAGCCATGGATACTGTTCAGTGTTCAGACCTGTTCTGCTTTAAATTCAGTGGACAATCATTTACGGTCTAAATGCAAATTGAAAACATGCAGAACTGCTTGTACTTTTATCATTTTTTCATTCATAATTCATCGTCCTTTACTGTTAGATTGTACAAACTCGTGTAGTTCTAGCGCTCTAACAAACGGACGATCAGATCCCGTCTCCAACCCTCCAGTGAGAGTCACAGTTTTCCTTCCGTGTGTCGACACTCCACAATCCACTACAACATGCACATCTGGCTCACCCAAATTCTACTACTTAGCTAAATTACATTACTTTCGCCTCTAACAAGGCGCGCTGTGTGTTGCGGTGGACGGGGGAGAAAAGCCGGAGAACATGGCTGGAGACAAAGGAGTGGAGTAGCTAACACGGTGTTAACAATTGCTCAGTGAGTTCCTCCGCTTTCCATTACACTCACTTTGCACCTTTTAACCTTGTTAGCGGGCCACGGCAGCTCGCTGCCCCAGAATGCTTGTTCCATAATTAAGGGTGGCTCAGGTGTTAGATTTATGGAGATTTGCAGGCCTGTGATTAAAATTGAAATTTAATTCTGTTAATCTTGAAGAAGCGAGGGATGAGGAATATTGGATGTGAAAGGGGAGGGAGGGAGGGACGGTTTGGGTGGCTGGCGAGCCACATATCAAGGGGAGATACTTCACACAGGCTGTTCAAACATGGACTTAAAACGTGCTTATCTCCCAAAAGGTTAATGAGGAGCGGCTGGCTGTGCCTGTTACAAACGCACAACAGAGGTCTCATCTACGGCTGCACAGTAGTGCGGGAAAACGCGCACGCACACGCACACACACACACAAACACACACGCGGGATGAGCTGCAGGCATCAGAAGCCTACAGCCTCACTGATAGAATTCTCGTTCCCAATAACATTCTCAGACGACTTAATTACTTTCCCGTTTGATGCGGCTCACAAGAATAAGTCGACTGTAGATGGAATCTCGCTTTGTTATGTCTGTGTCACTCACTTCCTGTCTGTGATTCTGCTGCTTAAGTCACAGAAGCCGGTTTAGGCAGGACGGGGCAGGACTCTGAGATTAGAAATGCTGCTGGGAAATTTAAGCTCACGTTGTACAAATAAAAAGACAGCAGACGGTTTCAGTCTTTAGATCGGGTTATAATAATGGATGTCCATGTATAGTTTTGGTGAAAACGTGCATTTTTCTATAGGAAAACTATGGAAATGTCATTTATTTATTTGATTTCAGTGTGTATTTCAAAGTAGCTGATGAGACCATCAATTTTTTTACAACATTTTGATATGAAAAAGTTTAAAAAAAGTTTAAAGTTTCCAAACAAACTTTTTCATTAATTTTGTTATTTTAATTTAATTTGAATGGCAACAGGAATAGCAATATACCATAGAGCAACATTTAACCAATGTCCATGCACTTGGAGGAGTGATAGTTATGATATGATGTGCATTTATAGCCCCACCTGCAGGGAAGGAAAAGGAGTTGCGTCCATTATGTTTATCAGCACTTTAAACAGATCATGTTCAACATCTATGACTGTCGGATCCTGTAAAGGATGTGCGTCAAACGCACTCTGACCATGAAAAGTACAACATTTTTGTACATTACAGATAAGGTGTCATCACATCATTCCATCACTGCATTTCAAAATCCCATCCAGTCTTGTTCAGGCCCTGATGTTGTATATTTCTGTGATCTGTGTTCACATGTGGGGACTTTGTTTACTGCAGCAGCGCCCCGTGTCTCTGGCCAGTGCCGTGTCAGCTACAGAGATGAATAGCTTTCTGCTGTCAGCCCACTAAGTATTCCAGCCAATGATGAATCGTTGCTCTGACTGACGCCCAAATTGGGTTCGGAAGAACAAACCAAAAAAAAAAAACTCGGCCTCTGGCTACGGCGTCCCATCATCTGTTACTGTGTCTTTGCCCCAAGGCCGCACAAGGTATATCCCCTTTTGTGTGCTCAAGGCCTCCGATAAATAGGAAAGACAAAGGGCCTTTCAGAAACCTGTCACACTCGTATCATTCTCCTTTAAAATGGTGCTAATGTCTTTTTTTTTTTTTCCTTTTTCGGTTTTGCTTTCGTTGTAAAACTAAGGTCTTTGAACATTTGATTTGCTCTCTTTTTTTTACTACCTCGTAATGTTATAAATGTTTCCCCTCATTATCTCATCCTTCTGAAGTTGTTGGTGGAGGAGTTGAAATTCTTCAACGTGAGGGCTGAGTTTATGAACGTGGTGAGGGTTCTCATGTCAAATATATATATTTTTTTTTAACAATCTTGTTATTAAACCCTGCTGAAACACCGTCAGTGGCGTGCGCTGTGATTCTGTCCAACAGTCACAGCCACTTGACTTCCTTTTGAAGTGAATGAGTCTCATAGTGTTTTTAGAACAGACTGAGTGACCCTGAGGCATAATGGGAACTCCAACTTCAAACCTGCTCAGGAGTGGTGAATAGGGAATAAAAACATTAGCGGAAACATCTAACAGTTTGAACCGTGAAGGCCATAACCTTCATATTAATGGATGGAGTTTAAAATAGAAATTATTTCATGATCTTAGACTGTGACTCTCTGCCAGGAAGTCTTTAAGAGGTCATTCGTATGAAGCATTAAAAATATTTAAAAAATCAAAAACATGAATAAAGAGCCAGGTCAGGGTTCAATATAAAGGCAGCAAAGAGGGCCACTCTCCATAGCTTTAAACTCACCTCATTAAAAATTATTATACAAAATTCAATAACAGCACAAGTACTTGGCCCACCAATGGTCTGTAAGAAATTAAATTTAAAAATTGAAACCATAATGTTTAATAAATAATTTGTTATTTTTGATTGCAAGCGATAAACATGGAACCACAGGTTGGACAACATAAGATTTTTTTGTCTGACCGTAGTGTCCCCTGATGTACACTTATGTCTTTAGTCTGATGTCCCCTGATGTACACTTATGTCTTTAGTAGGGATGTCCGGAAATATCGTCTGACCGATATTAGCATAATCATGTCATATCTGTAAGATTCGTTATCGGTTTGTCCTCCGATAATGAAAATCCGATAACGCAGGCTCTGGGGTTAGCCAAATATTGTGGAATCGCCTGAAAGGTCCTGAGACGTTTACCGCAGATTTCGGGGCTCCATATATCAGAATCGGAAATTAAGTGTTTGGACAATATCGGCATATCGGATATCGGCAAAAAGTTAATATCGGACATCCTTAGTCTTTAGTTATTTTTTTTTCAGCCATCTTTTTTCCCTTTTTTCTATGTGTCTATTCGTGTCTCCCGTCCTTGTTTCTCTAAGTCCTCTGTGGTCGCGAGGATAATTTACTTTGTCATTATGAACAAATCAAAGCAAGCAAGTGCGCATTTCACGTCATCTGATAACTGATACTCTTTAATGGGGCACTGGAACAGTAATTAATTTCAAAAACATCCCATTTATTTGTTCTGGAAGTAAACGCTCCCGCCAAAGCGGCATAAATCCTTGCTGTCGCCGAAGCTCAAATTAATTCACGTCTCGAGTCTGTTTGCATCCTTTGAGGATTTAATTATCTCAGTGAACAGGCTCTGGTTGTGCTGAATATATATATATATATATATAAAAAAATATTTATAGCAACATCAACCCCCCTGCCCCCACTCCTCAAAAATGTGTTAAGTGTTCATTTAGACGTTTCAAGGCAATTGGCCTGAACCTCCTGTGAATCTGACCCTCATTGTCCATGCTCTGTGATAAAAGGCCATGGGTCATTGGACACACGCATCTGACCAATCATCCTTGATTCAAAATGTCCTCTTGTTCTTGAGTTGTCAAATGTCTAATTGTCTTGTTTCTGACTGCAGATCTTCGCCATATTTGCCTTTGCTACAACTGGAGGCTACACAGGCACAACCAGCGTCAACATCCAGTGTCCAGGGAAGGAAATACAGGAAGTCACTGCAGACTTTAACTACCCCTTCAGGTGAATGTGTGATCTCAGACCTCACTGAATGGAAATTAAAAATTAAAAATGGATTCAGAATTTTCTATTAAATTTGCCCCTTTTAATTACCCTTGGGTTGAGTTGAAAGCAGAGGGTTTTAAAATATTTAGTGAAATGGTGCTGATAGCCAAAGGTTAGTGTAATTACTAAACATTAAATTGGTCTTAAAGTGAATCAAATTCAATTTTTTTTCATATCCTGATTTTTAAGTATAAAGTTATATTTGTCTCTGTACAGGTTGATGAAGCATCCCTACGATGTTCCTGACTGTAAAGTCAATGAGACCACCACCACTGCACACTACCTGTCAGGAGACTATGCTTCTTCAGCGGAGTTCTACGTCTGCGTTGGGGTGTTTGCCTTCCTGTACTGCATTGCCACACTAGTTCTGTACTTGGGTTACCAGCACCTGTATAGAGAAACCAGCCGTGCTCCCATTGTGGTACGTTTATCTAAACTCTCCTTATCTTTCTCGTGTAAAATACTCGTCATCAGCCATGTCCTGCTCTGCTCGTGTTTCACACGAGGGGGTGGGTCTGCATTCATCAAATTGGGCAATGTTTATATTTTGTATTCATTGGTCATAAGCTGGAGAATTTAAAAGTTTCTGCTTGGTGCTGAATTCCAACAGGAGGTCAGAGAAAGTTCGCTCAGCGGAGCCGTGCTAATGAAACAGGCTCTGCTCTCAAAGCAACTTTCACTCTATGTCGATCTAAAAATACTCTGTAAGGTAGAGTCAGGCTGTGAGTTGACTGCTTTGACTGTTTCCTGTAAGTCTCAGCAAGTAACTCAGCTACAGCTTTCTCCACAAGAACAGATGATAAATGTAGCTTTTGATATTAACAGTGGACAGTCAGTCACAGCAGGACAGTCTGAAGCATACAGCAACCCAGTGCCCACTTGTCTGTGTAGCTGTACACCACTGACACCGTTGCAACGAGACGTTAATTACACATCAAACGGAGTTACTTCCTGGTACTTGTCCCTGTGGTGGAAACCTCCATTCAAATACTAATCTTCTTTTGTTTTCCATCTTTCAGGACCTTCTGCTGACTGCCGCCTTTGCTTTCCTGTGGCTGGTGTCGTCCTCTGCTTGGGCCAAAGGCTTGACTGATGTGAAATACTCCACGAGTCCTTCAACCATTGTTAGTATCCTTGATGTGTGCAAGCAGGAAACCACCAAGTGCACTGCAGGTGCCATGCCTCACATGGGCAGACTCAACGCTTCAGTGGTTAGTTCTTTGTCTTTTCATTTTTTAAAACTTTAAAATTTTTAAATCAGTTTGTTTTGAACTATAGCCTGACATTTTTTTCATTTCCCTATTGTCCTTCTGCAGATTTTCATTATTATTAAAGAGAGTACGTTTTTTTTATTGTTTTTTACACATCACAAACAACTGTATTTTTTTACTCTTATTTATATCAGTCGGGTTAAAAAATTAGCATACACATAAAAATATCCTAGCTGGCTCATATGGATTGACGGCTGTGATCACGTGACCAGCTGCACAAGTGTCAGCTCCATGAGTTTCCTCTATAGTCTAACTAATTTTAGGGGTCATGATCCAAAAAAGTCTTGTTGTTTTGACAGACCGACCTAGCACACCTGCATGCTAACAGCCTCGCGAACAGATTGACAATTATAAACACGCGAGTCAGCATGAGTCTTTAAGGATTTCCTCACAAATCGCCCCCTAAAGGAAAAAAGACTCTGGTATAAATCAGCCGGTGTCAGGGCCACAGACACCTACGGCTCCTTATCGCCACACGCAGGCGGACACGCTCACAGATTGATAGGTTGATAGTAGCTCTGACAGGCAGGACGACAGGCGGCGAGGTACTGAGGTGTTCACAAGAGTGTGCACCAAGTGGAGGCAGGCAGAGGGAGTCACTGATGGACAGGAAGAGGCAATAACGTGGGCCAGAGGCAGTCGTTACAAGGACACTGCTCACAACTGCCACACCTGACACCGGCTTTCTGGTCCTCATTAGGAAAAATATAATCATCTACAGAGAGACCAAATTATGATGCTTGTCCTTCAGCACATCTGTCACCAGGAAATAGAAATAGGAACCGTGCTCCTGGAGTTTAGTTCCAGCACAGCAGCTGCCACCAACAAAAAAAAACACTGAAGTTTCAGCTGTCATTCAATGCACAAAATTGGTCCAAGTTATTATAACTCACAAATTAAGACGAATGATTCCCCATAATGAGAAAACGCGTATTTTCCTGTGACATTTTTGAGGTCGGTTAGAAATCTTTTTTCTTATGAATCAGATTCCTTTTCACGTTTTATTTCAAACTATTGAAATTCCTAAGTGAAGAACCGACCTTCTGGCTGATACGTACAGTAGATACATATATTCTATCTTACTTCTCGAAATTCATGACAACACGGAATCCACTGTTTAGAAAAGTGCAGCTGATGTCAATGGTTCTTCATCAGATGCAGTGTTATCAATTGACTATTGACAAGATTTTGAAGGAAATCTAAACTAACAGGTTACCAACAGATTTGCTGTGACTCACTCCAATTAATGCCGTGACTAGCTTCGACTAACGGCGGAAATTCGTGATTTTTCAACGTTTTTTTCAGATTTATTCACACACAGAAAGTGTGCTGTTGAAGCCTTCATTGTCCTCTACAATTTGGTTTGACAAAATCACGCCTGTGAGCCAGGATGAAGGGCAAAAATGTTTATGGCGTACTACTGGGGAATGTAAACAGACCGTAAGAGGTGTGGCAGTGTAACGACCAAATCTGGCCGCAGGTCGAGGACATTGGACCCAATGGACACCGGGGACCCAGTGTATAACGTACTTTCCCTAACTGTTCAAGATGGTTCCTCCAGAAGGTTCCAAACCGACTTGCAATGATGAAATATTTAGAAACCGACCCGAGCAAAATATCTAAGAGCATGTAGCCTACAGACTGGCACTGCAACCGCTGCTGCTGCTTATGTGAGTGCGCATAAACAGACAACAGCTTGTGTAACTGTCAGAGAGCATTTAGGACACACTGTATCATGCACAGCTACGCCAGACTCCATTTGTTTCCTTCCTTCGGCGTCTAGCAGAGCACTGCTAAGCTGCTGTTCCATTTCATGGTTCTGTCGTCGCGCTCATCCACCATAGGCAGGAGTCTTCGCCGACCTGCTCGGCAGATCATATCTTTTATTATTTACCCTGCAGAAGAAGTGTTCCTTCCATTTCAAGATCGGTTTATTATTATTATTATTATTTTCTTCAGAGTAGGAATTTTGTCTGTTATTGTAATATGTTAGTTTTTTTTTTTTACACCAGAGAGAACACAAACAAGCCCAACCTTGAAATGACTACACGTGTGGTATCACCCTAGAAATAGCAGCCGTCCTATGGAGATGAAAGAATAAGAAATGAGTCAGAGAAGACGTCTCATAGAGGAAGCAGGAAAAGAGGCGCACACAGCGCCGAAGAATAGGATTGTCATCATCACAGCTCACAGGAGAAAAAAAAAGAGAGAGAGAGAAACACCTTTGTTAGAACTAATATAAATATAATATTGGGCTGGATTTCTGGAGGCTTGGGAGTTGCATCAAGTCTCTCAGCAACCATGCATACAATATTATAGCGTTTCTCACAAGATGTGTCGGTGTGTGCGTGTTCCAATAAAAACAAGTGAAAGACATCTTTATAGAGTTGCCAAGTAGTTCAACAAAAATATATAATATCAAAGCACTCAGGAACAGCGTCTGGAATGTTCTCAAAGTACTTTAGTGTTGTCGCCGGGTTTGATTCAATACGACGAAGGGTCATTTAGGCAAGTGTTACCTGGAAAACTATTATTTCACAATAATATTTAGTTGTTTTTTTTTACTGGCCACATGGAAGCAAATGTTGCTGAAACACTTTTGTCTTTACAGCAGAGAATACCACTGGTTGCAAGTTTGATTTCTGGTTGATCTTTCTGTGTAGAGTTTGAATCTGTGTGTGTAAACATGGTCAATAGAGCATTAGGTTGATTAGACACTCTAATTTGACCATAGTCTCTAAACTAATGTTTTCAACATAAGGGTCGCGACCTCATGTGGGGTCGTCTGGAAGACAAACGAGGCCCGAAATGTTTAGTAATTGATAAAAATAAAACAATAATAATTCAAGCATTTTTTTCAACTAATTATTTGCCACAAATGTCACATGACATTTGTCTTAATTTTTTAGGGTTTTTTTGTTTTTGTTTTAAAAACTCCTCTATAGTTTTGCTACAGCTAGCGTAGAGAAGAAAACAGTCTTCTATTTACACGCTGAGCTCATCATGCACGTGCACTGACATGGAGCTGAGTTTCCACAAAACCGTCCTATCATTTAGAGAAAAAAGTATAGAGGCTCTTCTCAAAATAGATCAGCCCGCTTTCAGAAAAGTCAAAGCGGAAATGAGCAGGAGCGACAGCCTCCCCACCAGGAGTCAGGTGCGCCGCGCACATCAAAGTCAAAAGGATCGGTGAATGATGCACAAATGAAGCCTCACATGTGCCAATTCAAACTTCTATGTGTCAATAATGACCTCACTCTGCTATGTGATTACTCAGAATTCATTCATCCCAGGCTGAGGTGGGAATATAGTCCTGGCTCGTGGAAGTGTGGCTCCCAGAAGGTGATGGGGAGGCAGGAGGATTGTGTGAATGGAAAGGCTGTGAAGTTGTTTGGTGAAGTTTTTTTTTCTTTCCTTTTTCCGTTGCCCTTTGAGAAGCATACTCAGAACGAAATTTTTTGGTCTACTGTTCGTTGACTTGATTACGGCTTTTTAACGTTGGTGGAAATATGCTGTGATTCCTTCAGATTCTCAAGACTGTTTTTTTATATTTTGCCTAAACTGATGAAAAACTCAATTTATTCCACTGTCTTCTCCTGAATCTTTGCAGGATATCAACTCAGAAGGTTTTCTCTAAAGTCTCTTTAAGTGAAAGTGAACTACAGTACGTGTCATTGTGACCGCTGAAAAAAGTTAATATCGGACGTGTCGTTATGACCGCTGAAAAAAGTTAATATCGGACATCCCCAGTTGTAACTCTCCGGATGCCTATTTGTTTCTACGACCTATGGACCATTTTTGTGTTAGCGAGTTGATTTTCAATAACTAGCTATTCAGTCGACTTCCTTTGGGTCTGCAAAGAAAACCTTGTTAAACAGCTAAAATGTTCACCCTCTTTTACAGAAATATATATTTAGCGTCACAGTTGAGTGGCACCTATTGTTTTGAAAAGCAATTTTTAAAGTCAAACCTGCATCAAAACCAACAAAAACCTGTTTTCGCAGAAATAAGCCCATGCCACGTGCAAGTCACATCCCGGAAAGGAATCGTTACCGCGCGTGTTGCAATCAATCAATCAATCGTTGATGTCTCATCATTTTTAAATGACCCATTATGTTTTAAAGCATAATTGAGTCTAAGAGGCTGAATTAAGTGTTTGTCGTCGGCGTATTGACTCCTTTAGCTTGTTTACGTAAAGTGAATTGACAACAGCTGGTTAGATTTTTGTAAATTATTAAAGTAAATAAAGGATACTGGAAGATTGATTTGTATTGGTTTGTGGGGTTGGTGGGCGACGAAGTACGGCTAGTACAGGTGGCTTTAAGTACTGTGTCTGCTTCATCAGAGAATTGTTAAAGTTGAACCCCAAACATTTAAAAACAAACTGTCTGTTTGGTTAGTAGAAAGAGGAAGACGCTGCAACAGTCAGCAGGCATCCCAGAAAATCCCTTCCTGCTGCACATTTGTCATCTCAATCGGAGAAATATTCCCATACCAAAGTACTGCCTCGGGGGCTAAATAGTCTACTGTTGCCTTTGGCTTGCTGTTTTCAACACGAGTGTCATGTTTTTGATGCCCACTAGGTGTATGTGGAACTGCCTTGAGCCATTGCGATTGCTCAGCATGGAGGACGCAGGAGAAGGAAGTGTAGAAGAAGCCTGTGCTGTTTTTGTTTTTTTGGGGTTTTTTTTTTTCTTTCTGTGTGAAACAAACAGTTACTGTACGTTAAAGGAAAAAAATACAGAATTGCCAGTCCTTGTTTACAGAAACGTACAAGTTGAAAATTGTAATAATAATTCACACCAATGGTAATTTATGGGATAATTCTAATCAATTAAATTAAATCTGCACTTATTTTTTTACCTTTTTTCATAAATATGCCATTATTTATTTAATATTTTAAAAACTATTAAGCTACAGTATTTTTTGCCATTATTATTTTTAGATTCCAAAGATCTGCCTTTTTTATTTTAAAAAATCCACAAATATAC